TATCTTTAATTGAAAGTCCTCACATCGTTCTTGGCGAAAAGTGTGAGCAATTCTCTTGTACCATATTGTCGTCATGATGATGGCTCTGAAGGCCTGGGCCACGTAACAGGCTGCATCATCATTCCTGTTCTGTGCCGCCAGAATACCAGATATTATAAACTCCTCCGTCCAGCTAAATGATGACCAGGGAAGGTTTGCCCAACGTCTCCTCCACGTTGTCGAAATGTCCATACCCCTACTTGACAGAAAAGTTGCAGTCGGGATAACCAGCATTGACTGTTGCCACAGAAGACTACCCAGTCTCTCTGAAGGAAGTTTTTTCAGCAGCTGCCAGTGTTTCTCTTGTGTGGAGAAGTCTTTTCAGCAGCTGCCAGTGTTTCTCTTGTGTGGTCCTATCGTAATCTAGGAGGGCTAACTTCTGTCTATTTTTGCGCACCACCTCATAAGGAGACGAAGAGGCACCCTCCCTCAACAATCTGGTACCTATCTTAGGGGCTCGTTCGACACTCCTCGGGCGCCTAAAGTCCTCGAGGAATTGTTCGTTCCACTTATCCTCGGGGTTGCAGTCCCAAAAAAAAAAATGAAAACACTCCGAAGGAAATTCCTCGGGCTCCGAGGATTCCCCAGCCATTTCTCCCTTTTGCCCAAGGGACCTCACGAGGTCCCTTGGGCAAAAGGAATCCGCGTTTCACGGAGAGGATCGGGCACACGCGTAGAGAGACGGTACAACCGAGAATCTGGATCGTGGCGGCACCCTATTGGCTGAAGGCCTTACGTACATTTGTTTTTTTTTTTTCCCTTTTTTCTTTTCTGACATCGCTCCAAGGAAACGTCCTCGGGCGACGTCCCTGAGGGACAGGTGGAACGAAGGGCCCAAATTTCCTTTTGACTAAAAGGAATTTTTCCTCGGGCTTCGAGGACGCCCGAAGGAGTGTCGAACGAGCCCCTTAGAAGATTTGCAGTGCATGGGAATCACCATTGTCTGATACTGGCTCGACACATTCCATACCCACCGAGAGGGGTCGACCTTAAGATTCGACAGAAGAGCGCCTGTGAACCTTACCCGAGGGTTGGCTATCCTGTGCAATGTGGTTATTTTGAAATACAACTGGATGTGTTCCTGGACACAGTATGCAAAAAGACAATCGTACAGCTTTGTTTTCTTTCGAGTGGCGTCAGGATAATGGGCCGAAAGGCTGTGTGGCAAAGACACGGCCTCGATTTTGCGCGTTTCGAAAGTCTGTGTGGAGAGCCCCTAAGGGGCCTCGCCACACCACTCTCGAAATGTGAGAAAGACAAATGCGGCGGGTGCATGTGGCCATGTTCTCATTTTGCACATTTGGAGAGGGGTGTGGCGATGCCATACGACTTCTTTTTTTTGCTGGACCTGATTGCGGTCAAGAGTCGTGCACATCTGTGCTAGACATCTGTGCTAGAGTGAGTACGTCCTTTCGTTTCTTTTTATATTTGGTTGCCTATTTAGGTGCGCGAGAGGTCAGAAGAATAAGGTATCCCCACCCCAGCCCCCCCGCGAAAAAAATAAAAAAAAATAAAAGGTGTGTGGGCACTGTATGGACACACAACGACTTGCAGGTCCGCACCTGCACGGAATTTTTTTTCTTTCTCGTTAGCCAAAACTGCCGGGGCCAAGTCCCACTCACCCGAATGATCGATTTTTGACCGCAGATTCGGAAGATCAACGACCAGAAATCAAGGATCAGCGTAAGTGGGACTTGGCCCCCGGTCTCTTCTTTTTCGGTGTCTATTAAGGTCCGCGAGAGGCAAATGGGATCTCGGCCGCGCGTCCCACTTGGGGAGCTTGGTGTTGAGTGCCGCGTATTTTTCAATGTGGTCACACTGGCCGTGACTTTTTTTTTTTTTTTAATTAATTTTTACTGGTGGGAATTAGTCTCTGGTTGGATCCGGATTCGAACTCGAGTCTGTTGTTTAGTTTGTGGGTGTGCCAACCGGTCTAGCCTCCCCGTTGGTAGCCCTGGCCGAGATTTTCAGATTGGATGGCAGGGACCCTTAGATGCTTGAGCCCAGAGATAAATCTCCTCTCAAGTGTGGCACGGGCCCCGACCAGAAGAGATAAGGTATGTGGGTACACTGCATAGAACGAGTTGCGGGTCATGCACGGGCACGGAAATGTGGTTTTTGGATCTCGTTTGGCAACAACACAACAGTGGTGATATCTCCCACTCTACCGTCTTCCCCCGAACACAACGCACCCTTATTTTGGCAGTATCTGGCTGGGAATATAGCATGTATACATTAATTTTTAGAGTGCGTTATGTTCGGGGGAAGACTGTAGGCCGGACCCTAATAATCGTGTGTCATAAAAAATATAAAAATCCCGTGGCAGCCACAACCGTACGACTATAATTAGGAGCAGTGGTAGGTAGGTAGTGTGAGGTGAAATTCAGAGAAGAACGTAGCTTAAAAAAAAAAAGAAAAAAGAAAAAAGAAAAAAACAAATCCCGTGTCATGCTTCGGTGTATTTACTCGATTCTGGAAAATCCCCCTGGATTTTGCCGTTCTGGTTGCGCTAGCACTCGGGAGTTGGGGCATACTCACAGGAGGACCAAAAGTCTAAAAATTTTGAGCCATTTGGGTAGACCTATTTGGGACTTTAGGTCCTCGTGTGATCACACGGGCGGCCTTCTTCCAGGCCCGAGGTCCCACTAGCAAAAAGGATAGGATCGTGCTCCTGAATCTGGATGTGTTTTAAGCACAGATGCAGAAAAGCAGTTCAATCTCGATTTCCTGCACATCTCGATAAAGTCGTCCAGATTCAGGCATTCGATCCAATCCTCTTTGCTAGTGGGACCACCGAAAGGACGAAGTTGTGGCCATGACACTTGACACGGGTGAGGACCAAAAGAGAAGATGGGAATTTTTTTTTTAAGACGCCAAAATAACGTCAGAAAGTAGATGGACTTGTTTTTTTTTTTCCCTTACAACGTACGTGGGCCTCGCTGCACTACTGTGCAAATGTGGAAAATGAGACTGAATCCACCGCTATAGAACATAGATAGGTGCATTGCCATCTTTTTTGTATTTTGTTTGGCAGGCTGTTTTCTTCGTCGATGGCAATAAGGTAAAATGGGGAAAAAAAATCGAAAGGTCATTTGAGACCACCTCTGGAGGTGGTCTCGAAAAGGGGATCCCCTCGAAAAGGGTCCTCCGGCGGCCCACCATTTGAGGCATTTGGGTACTGGATCTCTCCTATGTGACCCGAAAAATGCCTCAAATTTTGGATACAAGGTCATTAGGTCTACGTGAGTTTGCCCTCAATCCTCCAATCCTGGGTGTGACCAATCCTCTTCTGACGTCATTAGGTCCAAGTGTTGGAATTTTAGGCCGGACCAGAGTCTCTCTAATTGGTGAATGTTGTCATGTTCGACTGGCTGTCGGTTTCCTCTACTGTAGGGCACTCCTCTCCGAAGTGCGGGCATTGCCACACCATTCCCGAAATGTGCAAAATGAGAATGAACTTCCCGCTAGAACATGGCCAGATGTGGCCGCCACATTCTTGCTTTTTTCACATTTCGAGAGTGGTGTGACTAGGCCCTATGGTGGTGATGCAATTTTCTTTCAGCCCAAGTTTTCTTTTGTCGTTTCGGGGTCTTAGGAAACTGTGAAAACACCGTACTATGGTGGGCGAAAACTGTGCGACCCGGTTTCCAGCAGAGCCGAAGCTGGGTAATGGCCCCAGCATTTCATCCGGGTTGAGATGTTGAGCAATTCCCGGTCTCAGTTGATTGCAACTGCCTCCTCGGATGGCACTTGAAATGCCGACGTGAGTTCGGATCCAGATTGAACCCGATGAATGGAATTCGTGAATTACTGAGGGCCCGTCAGTTTCACGACGTGAGTTCAGATCTCAAGGCTGTGGCCGGGCCATCTACACATCTTTTCTTTTCTATTTTAACAAACACAATTCATTCATAAGAATCATAACAGATAGTCGAGGCCAGGGACCTCACAGTTCTACCCGGAGTTATCCTGGAAACAGTACCCGGTTTTGCTTATGGCTCTGGAGGAACCAAGACCCAATCAACAGCTACAGACCAATCTTCATCAACAATTCTCAACGCATTCTATTACCAACAGACTTCCTACCCAAGGCTTGACAACAATGGAGGACCTAATTAAATAATACACTTTTGCAATAAAAGAAAAGAATATAATGCTCCCCCCCGCACCCCCCCCCCCCCCCCCCGGCGGCCGGTAGTACTGGCTGAACCTCATATCAGATGGAACGGCTAAAAATTTTCCTGCCATGAGTGAAGAGGGTCTTGACCCTGGAAAAGAGGGGCCCAGCCGGCCGGTAGTACTGCCTGAACCAGGCAGTGATTTTGGGCCAGATACGGGCCTGCCCTGGCTGCTCGTGCTTGGGCCACATCTCGGTCCTGCCTGAGATGGCTTTTGACCAACTCCGGTGGGCAACTGGACTGCATCTAAAAACTCTGCGGGCAACTACACTGCAAAGCCTGTTTACCTGTTTCAATGGAAAATCCAAACTTGATTTGTGATGCGGCCATAATAGTAACCTCGAAAGAAAAAAAGGGGCGTTGCGGCTGGGTGTTGCACACCATGGCCATGGTATTGGCAGAAGCGGGTGATGCCCAGTGTAGCGCAGCCCAGCATACAGCAGCGCGCATGGGGCCACTGCCACCAGGTGGTTTTATGGATAATTCCAATAGCTTCTGTAGTTTGCATTACCCGGTTTTGTTTTGTCGGCACAGTGGGAGCCGTTCTCAAGATGTGAAAACGTGTTCTGTTGGCACAGTGGGACCCGTTCTCAAGATGTGAAAACGTGTTCTGTTGGCACAGTGGGACCCGTTCCCAACATGTGAAAACACGGCACATTGGTCTCGGTGTGAAGATCGGTGCACAGGTGGTAGCTGGGCAATGAGGCTGTGCCATTTTTGTGGAAAGTTCTAACGGTGTAGAACGGGACTCTGTGTGTGTGTGTATGTGTGTGTTTGTTGCAGGCCTGTAATCCGTTGAGTAGAACGTCGATTGCGGCCTTTTCATCCCGGTTATTGAATCAAACAAGCAGCCTTTTCTCAACTGCTCAGCCGCACCCAGAGGCATCGGTAAGTGGCAGATGCTTGTAACCTGCACTGAGTATGTGATTTTCAGATGTCTGTAATGGATGGCTATGTTGGAAAGTCTCAGCTTGCAATATCCACTGACTTCGTGATTTGTCGATCAATTTGTCATGGATGACTCGAAACATCCTGGCAAAGTGAAATTTTGCAATTGTTTTTGGGCCAATCTGTGATTGATGGCTTGTGACATCTAATGCAAAATGAATGTGTGTGGGAGTAGGGGGCTATGTGTGGGCTCTTCGGGGAAAAAAAAAAAGAAAAACATTGGCTGATAGATTGTCAAAAATGTGGCGAGGGATGAAATGCCATCTGTCGTAGGTTCTTTTGCTCACGTTATAAAATGTTGCTCCCATTGATTATTAACGAGTCTGGTCCCAGTGGGCCAATTTTTTTACTGAGCCCATCGTCTCTCCCCAAACAGGATGCATCCTCAACATGACTGTAACGGACCACCAAAATAGCGTGTATACGTTTGTGATGATCGTGCTGTCTATTTGATGGAAGAGGGTAGCGTCCGCACTCCTTTAGGACTCCTTTTTGTATTTTAATGAATGTAATGCAATAGCTGTTGGAACTTTGTGGAGTTGTCCGTAATCTGAAGACGAGTTTTTGCATGGAGGATGGAAGTGAAAAATGAAAATGACGCAAGCATGGAAGATGGAAGTAGACTCAGTAGAGAATGAAAATGCTGCAATGCACGCTGTTACGCCTAGTAATCATCTGTTTGCAGATTGGTCCAAGATTGTTGTAATCAGTGTGAAATGTCCTCAGAAATGAAAAGTGAAAATGATGCAAAGCACTGAAGATTCAAGTAAAGAATGAAAATGATGCAATGCAGGCTCTCTTAAGCCTGGTAATTATCTTTCTAAAGATTGGTCCATGATTGCTGCAATCAGTGTGGAATGTCTGCGGATCCAACACTGAAAACAAGACGGAAGTGAACGAAATTGTTTGAAAAACTCCCCATGCCATGGGATTGAAAGTGTAAGTTGCTTTGCCATGGGATTGAAAGTGTAACTTGTTTGAAAAGCTTTCCATGCCGTGGGATTGCGTTAATGGGAGCATAGCAAGGCTTTAAGGCGGAGCGAATCCTTTGTGCATATCCTTCCCGACAACGGCAGGGTAGATGCCTGCATTTTCTGCAGGCAATAACAATCGAGGACGATGAAAAGTGAATGGGTAAATGATTCAATGCATCACCTGACTCTCTCTCTCTCTCTCTCTCTCTCTCTCTCTCTGTGTCTCTGTCGTTCGGAGTGCAGGACTTGCAAACAAGGCTAAGGGAACTCATTCCTGAGGAGCAGGTGAGATATTGATGGAAGGCAAATTCGTGAGCTGCAGTTCGTTAGTTGTCTTCTGCGCTGATCCTTTCTGCATTGCGGTCTCTTTTTTCTCCAGGCTTTATTGCAAATATGGGTTGGGGGGAGAATTACCAAAATTGTCCTGTCCTTTCTGTCATCGTTATTTTAGCAAGTCGTTTTCTCTTTTCATGTTTCAACGGGATCCTGAGCACCTACCTTCAATTTGTTGGTGACAGCTGATGTCGCTTTTGGGCCGGTGGGCACCTTTTCTTTCCTCACTGATGCTCCTTTAATCATTGGGCAGGTAAGACCGTGGCATGTTGAAGTGGATGTGTTGGATTTGTTGCCTATTGTTCTGTCCTCGTGTTGCTAAAAAAACTGGCTTCTGATCTTGATTGGTATGATGATGTTGTTGTCAACAGGCACGGCTCAAGGAAATCAGAAAGAAATATGGCAATGTTGTCCTCGGTGAAACAACTGTTGACATGGTGCGTTGTGCTGACGTGCCTTCTCCCTGCCAACAAATTTGCAATTATGCTCCCTATTGCCCTTGGAAATTGGAAACTCTCTCTTCTCTCTCTCTCTCTCTCTCTCTCTCTCTCTCTATATATATAGGGTTCAGCCTCCTGATGAGTCGGTGAAACTCCGACGAAACAGTTTGTCACAGCCCTCGTTGGTTGTCCTCTTCTCTCTCTCTGCCTACGGTTTACCGGGCAGTTCTGTTTGTGACGATATGTATATATATATATATATATATATATGATGATATCTATATATCAGCCTCCTGATGAGTCGGTGAAACTCCGACGAAACAGTTTGTCACAGCCCCTCATTTGTTGTCCTCTTCTCCCTCTCTGCCTACGGTTTACCGGGCAGTTCTATTTGACGATATATATATGATATATATATATATACCAGCGCTCAACCTGTCATCCACGTGGCTGGCCTTGTACGTAAGAGGTGATGAACAGGTGGGGCTTTCCTTCGTTCCTTCTTTTCCTTTCCTTGTTTTGCTTTTTTTCGCCTTCGCGCTCTGATTCACAGTGTGACAATATATTACATATATTTGACGATATATACAGCCAGCGGCGTGTCTGGAGTGTATTTTTTGGCTGTGACAGACCTTTCTTTGTTTCGTGGATGTTTTGCTGGCTTGTGATGGGGTGTGAACCGACAGTCTGTAGAGTTTTCAATCTGGTGTGGGTGAGTGATAGTCTAC